GTGTATTCTTTAGGATACAGAGATGTATAGATCCAGCTTGATTAAGAGTCATTGTTGATCTATTTGCAATAGTTACAATTGTAGGAGTTATGTTGTGTACATCTGTTAATTGAAATAGATAAGGAGTAGTATGTATTGATGCACCAGAATCAAGTAAATCCATTGTTTGTGTATAGGATTTCTTGATAGCTATAATTGTATTTGTAAATACATTAGTACATACCCAGGAAGCATATTGTTCGAATTGTTTGTCCTGGTTGCTCAGAATAAGAGTGTAGGCATTATTGTTCATTTCAATGTTGCCTTCCTTTAATTCAACATTGTTTTTGTTTGGGTTTTCAATAATAAATGTGTTTGTTGTGTTTTCCACAGTTTGGTTTGTTTTATACACAATGTTAGCTTGATGTTTGACACAGGCAAGCTTTGTAGCTTCAGTAGAAGGTTTGTAGCATTCTTTAGAGAAATGTCCTGTTTTTCTGTAATTGAAACATTTTACTTTTGTCAGATTGAACAGATTTGGCAGATTGAATTTCCTCTACTTATTAGCTTTATACATTGTATTAGTGTGTGCATTATTCTTTGTCTGATCATTAGAATCTTGTACTTGTTTAGTACAGTAATCATTGTAGGCATTCTACAATACAAGGATTAGTTGCTTCAGTTTGACTTTCTTATGTTCATTAACTGGTTTGCCTTTGTTTTAGGCATTAATAGATTGTATTATTGTATTTACTATGTGTGTATATTGCTCAGGAGTAGCAAGCAATATTACTGCTTTGTATGTAGAGTTGTGTAGTGGATCACTGTTAGCAGACAGAGTTGTGTATGCTTCCTCAAGTCTGTCTAATGTATGTCTGAAATGTTTTACATGGTCTCTACAAATAAACAGTGCTGATTTGTTGATGGCCTTTTTATGTACTGTCTGGGGGTTGAAGCATTCTTCAAGCACTTTCATTAACTGAGGGATAGATGTATCAAAGTGTATATAGTTTGCCAATATTGTATTAGCAATATTATTAACTATGTATGTATGAATGGCCTTAGCCATCTCCCTCTTAGCTTTGTTCTGTGGTTCATCCTTTAGTAAGTGTTTGAAGCATGTAGCTGTAACACTAGAAACAATACAGTAGTGCCACATCTTGTAGTTTGCTTAAGTCTTAAGCATTGTGATGTTTTGACCAAAGTATTTAGGTACATTAGCTAGTTTACAGTGTGTATCTGTATGTGGGGGAACCATGATACAAATGTGTGCAAGTGTATACAAGTAAAGGGTTTAAAGTGTACAGGGGATGTGTGTATGCAGGGAGCTCAAGGCTCATAACCTGTTGAGAGGGAAAACTTAAGGGGGGCATGCATAGACAAGGGGTAAGGTGATGATTGACTGCTCAGTGTCTCTCATCCTTATATTGTATGTATTCTAACTGAGACATTATGAAGTCATTGTCTTGTGGTTTGTCTGTTGATAAACTAATCATCTCATAATATTTGATGTCTTAGAAAGCAGATTATGCAAAGTCATCCTTATAGTCTATATATACTATCTACCTTCATTGTACAATGATTATTCAACAAGTCACTCATTAGCTAGAAAAAGTCAGCTTCCTCAACATAAGTACTTATGAAGTAAAGAGCTGATCAATTGTACAGCAACCGAAATTCTGTAGATGAGGATGAAATACCAATATTGTCAGGTGGACCACAGAAGGAGAAACATAGTACACAGAAGTCATTGCTTCATCACAAAGATACTTCTAAAAATGAAAATTTGACAAAGAAATTCAACGAGTCATATTCTAGAGAATATGAACCTCTTCTTTCAAGAGTCCAATCAAAACTGCAAAAGCTGAGAGAGAGGGGAGAAGCTGACCGAGTAGATCAAGATGCCCTTGAGAAGGGATGCAATATACTTCCATCAGAAACAGATGTCGAACAATTCAATATCACCTGTAAGGAACTCGATAAAGAGCAGACTAAATTAAATTATGCTAAGGAGCACCAACCTGATAAGGTCTCGAGTCTAGAACCTCAGAAGAAATCTGTTGAAGATGATAAAAGCGCACAAGAAGAAAGTATTGACAACACTATAAAGCAACTATGTGAAGTACTCGACCTGCAGAGTGATTGGAGTCAGTCAAACAGTTCCTCTGTTATACAGAGTTACAAACATATCCTTGTGTTCTGGAACGAGAGAAAATTGGAATACCTTGCAAAATCAATCGGATATCTTACTCTGGCCAGAGACCAACAAAGGATTATCTTTGAATTTGCATATTATATAGACAAGCACAATAAAAAGGTACAACATTTCACATCCGGGATCACAGAAATAAAAAGGAAGGTTGAGGACCAAAAATCACTCTAGAAGAAGTCTAAAAAGAGTAAAAGGGTGCTTACTGTAAAAAAGCTAAACAAGACCTTCAGATTATAGAAAGAGAGATTGATAATATAAATGACTTCATGAAAGATTGTTTTGGGCCCTACAACAAAGTTAAAGAGTCTGCACTTAGAAACATTGAAACATTGTGGATGTATAATCAGAAGGGTGTAGCATTTCAATGTTTGAAGGAAGTGGACAGTCACGGTAGTCAGGAGAAGAACACGTCAAAGCGTTCTAATTCTGACCACAAACACAGAGGACATGTGTCAAAGAAATGAGATTATGCATGATAGAAATAGTCAGATGTTGTTGTACTTGTTGTTTTTAGATTTATATGCTAAACAATGAACATAGGTGATAGTATATAATCTACACATCTATACAGTTGCTATGCGATTTCCATATACATGTGTAAAGTAAGACTGCATATATACGTGCTCTATCCGATATCTCGAACTACTAATGCTCATCAGTCTGGATGAGGACGAATAAGAGCTTCTTCCCTTTATAATCTCTCTGTTAATTTGTTTGTAAAATTTTGTGTACCCCCCTATGTAACGATACTGCGTCTCCTAATAATACTTTGGGAGAATTAACATTGCAAATCAACTTGACTGTTACTATGACGATTCTCATCATATTTGATACCTCGGAGGTAAATTATGCAAAGCTATTCTCATGATTTATATGCACTTCCTAGCCACCTTCATTGCACAAAAATCAGCCTCAACTAGTCAACTTGAAAAAAAATAATTGTTATCTCTCTTTCTCAAGACAAATACTTATGGCTCTGGGACGAGGAACTGGTCAGTCAGGGAACAGCTCAAAGTCTGTGGATAAGGAAAGAAAAGTAACATTGTTAGGCGGGGCACAAACGGAGCATCGCAGCGACAGCCGTTCAATCGTCCGTCACAAAGGCTCTTCTGAGGTTAAAGTCGTGAAATCATTGCGAGAGAGGTTCAATGACAAGTACAACAAAGAATATATGCCCTTATATTTGAAAGTCCACCCGAAGTTTGAACAGTTACAAAAGGGGGAAGAAACTGACAGTGGAATTCCAGATAATCTTGAACAAGGATGCAGTATACTTCCGACAGCAGAGGAAATTGGGGATTTCAATACTGCTTGTCAGAAGCTGAGTAAAGTGCAGGGCAAGTTGAAAGATGCTAGGAAGCATAATCCTGACGAGGTCGCAAGCTTAGAATCTGAAAGGCAACTTGCTGAACATGATAAAATATCAAAAGAAAAACATATCGAGAATGCTATGAAACGACTATGTGTAGTAATTAGTCAGCAGAGTAATGAAGAAATCAGTTCACCTGTCAAAGAGGCTTACATACGCGTTATTGTATATTGGAATGAGAGGAAATTGGAATACCTTGCAAAATCAATCGAACTCCTTACAGTGGCCAGAGACAATCAAAGAATCATCTCTGCATTTCCACCTCATTCAGTAGATCAGAAATATCAGATCCAAAATCTCGCAACTCAATTTCAAGCAATATATGAGGAAGTAGAAGGTCAAAGGCAATCTGAGATATCTAGAGAGAGTATAGACTTGCTAAAGAAGGATATACAAGACCTTCGAGATATAGGAAAGCAAATTGACGGTATAAATCAATCTGTGAAGGCGAGTTTCGAACCCTACGAGAAAGCTATAGCAAGTGCAATTGGTGCTACCGAAATATTATGGAAGAATCATCAAAAAGGAGTGAAGTTCGAAGATTTGAAAGATATAGGTAGCGGCCAAGAGAAGAAGGGAACAGAGAATTCTAAGACTCATATACGTTGGGAAGATCCACCAAAGAAATGAAATCATAAGCATTAAGTCAAATAAATAGATGGGATCACTTCTGGAAATCTAGTGTTTATCTACTTGTGTTCAAGAATAGAATACACAAACTATTCTCCGCATTTATCTAAAAAAATCATCGTATGCATAACTCTCTTGACTCTGACGATTGGAGTGTTGGCTTCACAAGCATAATCCGTGTTATTGAAGCCTTCTTTATTCCAATACAATAATTCTGAACATCTACATAATAGAGTCCCAATGGACTTCTATCTACCTGTGTAAGTGAGATACGTACGCATGAACACACATACAACAATCATTTAACCACCTAATCATCAACTCTAAGGCTAAGGAGAAACAACTCCACCCGAATTAACCATAAACGTAAACTCCAATCCAGTCTCATCATCAACTTCCATCCCTCCTTCTCCTCCCGCTCTATTCCTATTATTGTTAGCGCTAAGTCTAGCAGATCGTCGAGCAGCCTTCCGAGCGCGCTTCGCGTCTTTCTTAAGTGTACGTCTACCGAGTGGATTTTGTGATGCTATGTCGTTGGTGGAGGTGGAGGTGTCAGGGTTGTCGTGTACAGATTGATTTTGCGTTCTTTTTAATCGTTTGGAAGGGGGAGTTGGATGAGAGTCGCTGTTGATGTCAATATGTAAGTCGGATCCAGGTTCGACACGCGTTGAGACTGAAGGGGAAGGCGAGCGGGTGCGTTTTCGTGGGATGCGTGGTGTCAAGTCGTCTGATTCCATCTGTACACTTCCGCAATCGGGTCAACGTCCACATCATTTCACTTCACAACATGAAAAGCAAAGAAAACAAGAAGTACTTACACACCATCCCCTCCGTGTACCTCCTCATCTTGCATCTCACAATCAAAGGCACCTGCGTCCGCTTGACTGAACAACCCTCCAAGATCAAAAGCAGGTGCCATCTCATTCACGATCTTCGCACTTCCAACGTCTTCCGCCCCCGGTGCCACCACTCCTCCCTCTCCAACAGAATTAAAACCAAATTTCGCTGCAGTCCCTCCACTAACCATACTCGGTACACTACTCGGATGCACACTCGGCGGTTCCGTAAAATACGGAATCTTATGTGTATTGAAGTCGTGAATGATTTGTCTAGCGGCAGAAAGTACGTCGGGTGTTCCACCTTTGTGTAAACGACCGGTGGAGAGAGCGAGCATGGTGAGGAGTTCGAGAGTTGATGTGAATTGTGGGAGGGAGTAGATTGCTTGGAGTTTGGGGGGTGGGATTTTCGAGAGGATTAGATCGACTGAATTCAAAATCGAGACATATTAGTATATAACAAATGATGGGGTAAGGAGGAAGGAATATAGCGCGTACCGACTGCAATAGGATCCTTCATATCTTCCACTTTAACCGCATTCCGCAGAAGGACGTTCCCACTCTCTTGATCGTCGTCATCGAACACAACACCAGGCGAGTCCAGAACGCGTACACCCCTCTCAACTTGTATAGCCTGCACGTCCTTCGTGAACCCCGCTTCACCACTCACAGCACATACCTTCGCTCTTCTCAGCGAGTTAATCAAGCTACTCTTCCCGACATTTGGGTATCCGACTACGCCTACCGTAATACTTCCCATCCCTGATTTCGTGGAGCGTTTGTAGGATTTTAGGAGGTTGAGTAAGGCAGGGGAGGTTTTGGAGGCAAGGTTAGTGCGTTGTTGTTGTGTTGAAGCGCGGAAGGGGAGAGTAGGTGTTGTGTGGCGGAGGTAGCGCAGCCAGGCTTCTGCGTTCTCTCTAGGGATGAGGTCTAATTAAAAAATAAAAATAATCGTAAAATCAGTAATTAATTTTACTGGAGACTAGCCGCAGGAGGAGAGGAGTACAGAGATGAAGACTCACCAATCTTATTAAGCACAAAAACAAGTCTCTTCCCTTCATGTTCCCTCCTCCTAACTTCCTCCTCAACAAGTCGACTTCGACAACCTTCAGGATCACGAGCGTCCAATACGAGGATGACGATATCGGATTCTTCGATTACTTTGTGTAAAGTACGGATGTATTGTCGTCGGAGTTGTATTTTGTAATTTTGCGCTGCATCCGTTGAAGATGACGGGTCAGAGACGGAGACAGTGTTGTCGTATATTCGACCTGAGGCCTCTGAGGCTTCTGCGAGAGCTGCGAGAGAAGAAAGAGTTGGCTCGGAGGCCATTGGGGAGTCTGGGTCGAGTTTCAGAGCTTGTGCCGAACGCTATTCGAATAGCATTCATTAGCTTTAGAGTCTCAAAAAAGAAGAAGAGTGATGCAGGTAGACCGACCTGAGCAGCTCTTATCTTTTCTACATTCTTCTTCTGCTTGAGGTCGGGCAGTTTGGGTATCCCAGGATCTTTCTTGAGCTCTGTGCAAACCGAGGAATGAGAATACAAAGAAAGGAATCGCCACAAAAATTGAAGACTTACTCGCTTTCGTAGGGAGCTCCTTCTTCGTACGTTCTACACAATCCTTCAACACCAAGGACCAAATAAATCATAATTTAATGAGTTACTCACTATTTCTACCCATGTCGCGGTAGTGGTCAAACTTGACAGGAAGAAGAGAACAAAGAATCAAACCTTGCAAAGGAGACACGGAGATAGACAGGGAAGCACGCGGCGTTCACGAGGCTAAACGTAATCATTTCCAAATATGGCAGTGGGGCTGAAATGCGTGCAAGTAGTATAGTGGACCCTGAGACTCGCGAGACGGCGACCTGACCTGTGTTTAACTGAACACGAACAACACAGCCAGCTACTCTACTTACACCCACTTCATATATGATCAATTTTCTGCCTTCCGTGCGTTCCACTTGATATTAATTAAAATTTACTAGGAATGCTAATGCTGATGCTAATGGCTGCGCGTCTCTCTAATAAGAATAATGCCGTACACCAGCCGATCAATAGATTTCGATGACTCCCCGACAACGGCTCCGCCAGATTGTAGCTCGTCACCGCGGTACAAACGTACAACTACTGCGCAGGACTGCGCTAGAAGAGAAGACGACGGAGAGGGTGGGCGCACTACAGTGGAGGATAGCGAAGATGAAAGTGAGAGCGGTGAAGGCAATGGTGGTTCCTCGTCTGCACACAGCAACAGCGTACAGAAAGCTATGGCCAAACAGACGCGTAAACGCGTCAATCCACCTACTAAACGCCTCGTACTCGACTCGGTGAGCCATTCGAAATCTCTAGTCTTCCTTTCGTATTATGGGACGTGGTAGCTGTCTGGGGCTGTCGTAAATTTGCAATTTGGACGCATTTCTTTAGACGCGTCTCAGACATGCACACGCGTGTCTCCACCCAGTTCTGAATTTACGCCCTCGCTCTGTTCAGCCGTCCCCTGACCGATCCGCTTCAATCCGGTCTTGCTAATGCGTTTACAATGCTTTGTTTAGATCGTTGTGTCACACTGGAAGGATATAAGACCAAATGGTCCGAATGACGAAAGCACCGTGGTAAGTCGAGCCTACCTCCATCGACGCGTTATCTGTATATTGATCGCTAGTAATTTACCCTAATTCTTAGCCTTCGACGTCGCGTGTTCAAGATGTGCCGTCGAGCTCAGCTCAGAGAGAGAAGACTGTATGCGTTCATCTGATATTTTCTATCCCGTTTGTGCTCATCTGACTCCTAGGAGAATATCAAGCCTAGATCCGTCCAGCGGACATACTTAGAGCGAAGAACGATCAAACCAATCAAAGGCCTCCATACCTCAGGACTGAAACGAAAGCGTTCTCCTACGAGGTTAGAAATCGACCGTTCTCGCACTTCGTCTCCTATTCCACCACCCAACGACGATGACGACGGGGATGCAAGTTCGGATTACGATTCGTCGTCCGATGTTCTTCTACTGACCGGCAGACCTTCACGTGCAAGTTCTAGCAGGGATGTCGAAAAGTATTCCTCACCAAGTAGTTCTTCTGTGAGTATTCACCGCATCTCGCATATATATCCTTTAACCCTCATTTTGTCGTATTGAACGTATCTATCTAGCCTCCACCTCCTAACACTAAACCATCGTCTTCTCGTCCTCGCCCAACCCTCCCCGTCTCACATCGCGACAACGAACCAAAGACTAAACCCAGCAAGACTTCCAAAGGATCAGATTTCTACGCTTCCCTATCAAACGCTTACAACTTCGCTCGACAATGTGTGTTGGAGAAAAAGCCGACAACGACGAGACGTCCTGAGAAGAGTCAACCTTCTCGTTCTCAATCAACTCTTTCTCTGCACCCTCTTGAACCGTCTCGATCCATTCAAGTGCAAAGCAAGTCTACCACTCCACAGTTGCAGTCGACTTCTCAGTCATGCCAACCTTCATCCTCATCCTTACCCACACCTCCAGTTGCACACCAACGGTTTGCGTCGAAACCTCGCCAAACATTCGCTTTCGTGTTGATCCCACCTCCTTTGTTTCCCGTCCCTCGGGAACGGTACAGGAGTATCTCAGAGCTTGAGGTGGATGAGGAGGAAGATGTGCATGAAAGGGAGAAAGCGAAAGAGATAAAAGATCGAGAAGTTAGAGAGGAGAGACCAAAGCAAGGTGTTAAGAGAAAACGAGGACGTCCACCTAAACGATCCCCAGACAAACAGTTTAGGGACGTAGCTGAACACTCTGCAACGGAAGAGGAAAGTGAGCAGGAAGAGGAGGTAAAACAGCGAGAGGGATCGAGGCAGGGTATTCTTTTAAAGAGGAAGCCTGGGCGTCCACCTAAACGATCCTTGGAGAGGCAGGCGAAGAAGAAGGAGGAAAAGACTGGGCAGGAAGTCATCTACGTCTCGTCCGATAGCGAAGCGCCCGTAGCTGGTCCGTCGAAACGAGCGCCAACGTCGTCGACTCGTACTTTCAGCCGTTTTCGCAACCATGGTGTCGAAAGAGATGATACGATAGTTGTCAACTCGAGCACACGAGATGACTGTTTTCCTTCGTCTTCGCTCGTGACGAGAAGAACGGGGACAGAGGATGAATCGTCAAGTCCGAAGCCAACTGCAAAAAGGACGAGGAAACGAAAACGCGTCGAACGAGTCATCTCTGAAAGCCCTTCGGATTCAGAATCCGAATTCGATGTCGAAGCTATCGAAGCAGCTTTACTCAACGCCCATCCTGATCGAAGATCGACTCCACCACTTGGACAAATACAATCAATACAGTCTCCTGATCTCTTGCAACCACTATCAACGAAGCCAAAATCAGTAGCTTCCTCAGCATCTGCAACATCAATACCAATTGTACCAGAATGCGCTACCAAGGCTGGGAAGAAACGAAGGACAGAAACCGACAATGACTCGACTACTACCGAGCCCTATTTGGATGAAGTCGCCGACGGAATATCGCCGAATAGGGATATTGAGAAGACGGTCGACAATTCTAGATCAACATTCGAGACTTCTCAACATAATTCTTCGAGTTCTCCTGCGCCGCCTTCGCGTGAAATCGTCGTTCAACACCAGGCGCCAGCAAAGGATGTTCACGATCGCCGTCACCACCACTCTCCATCCATGCGTCAAAGGTCGCCTATGCTCCACCCATCCAGCTCACGGTCTCCTTCGTCGAGGTCAGTCACGCTGACTGAACAGGTTGATCCGTCGTATTCTCCGTCTGACTCTCCAAATACGGACGGAAAGTCTAGAACACTGCGAGTTGGAGCGCCTACGAAAGTTGCTGGCATCAACAGCCATCATGAAATGGACGACGATCTTGAAGAAGAGGAAGAAGACAGGGATGACAAGGACGATGAACTCGGACTTGAAAGTGAAGACGAGGTAGACGACGTCTGTCATTACTGTCGATCGCGCAACGTCTACGCCAAGATGAAATGCACAAACATGAAGGCTAACGGCGTTTGTCCGCTACATTACTGTCATCGATGCTGTGCCAAGTTGTAAGCCTTCTTCACTATCTCTCCCCTCCCTCCCTCTATCCTTTCTTTTCGTCCCGTCGTTCCGGCTATTCTGCTTTAATATCTTACACAACACATCTACCACACCACATACAGCTTTCCCAAAATCCACTTCGACCCCTTCTCAGGAACCTTCGTCTGTCCATCATGCGACGATACCTGTTCCTGCAAATTCTGCTGTCGACGCCGTCGTGTTCCCGAACCGCGTAAGCCGCCTCAAGCAAGACTTAAATATTACGAACTAGGACCTCCCTTACTCCTCTCTGCTCAAGAAACGCGCCGAGAAGAACGTCGTAAACAGCTCAAAGCGGCTGGGAGACCTGACCTTGCGAAGCTCGTGGGGCAGAATCAACAGATTAAGAGGAGACCGCGTCCGAAGATAAAGGTTCATGAGGCTGGCGATGGGCGTGATGGGGAGAAAGGGAGAAGGAAGGTGGATATTGGTGAGGATGCTGAGGAGTGGTTCAAGCAACGACGTTTGGAACGCGCAAAGCAGTTCAGTGGAAAGACAACAACGACAAACGATAATTCTGTTGGACGTGCATTCGTTGGTTCTTGGTCACGTGCATGGGGACCTGCTCCAGGTGTCATACACGAAATGGACGGCGTTGACGTTGACGTTCATGCGGTCAATGGTATGGGTAAGGGAAAGGCGAAGTGTGTGGACCAAGGGCGAAGGCTATACGCTGGTGATCCCAAGGGGTTGTTCCGACCTTTCGTATGTGCAGACGACGTCGTCTTCACGAAGTCCGAATCCAAGCCCAAGCCCGACGAATCGTTGACGAAACAATCTCCTGTACGAAGCCTAAATCCTCCACCCTCCGAAGTTATACACGATTCGATTATCGTCACCTCCGGTCCGCGAAAGAAAAGACGACGCGTCGGGAATCCAATCACCCCGATCGATTCGATCACAATTCCGCAGTTTACGATTAATCACCAGGAAACTAGTGCGACAGCTTTATCCAGCACTGATTTGTCCTCGCAGCCAACTCCGGATGACTTCCTCGGACCTCCAGAAATTGTTGACGGTGATGGCGACGGCGACAACACGAACGCATACTTACGTTACCCTAGAATCGTTAATGACCCGATGTTAAGTGGGGTCGGAGACACTTCTGATGGACTAGGTTACGGGCCTACGCCTGTATCTGGGTTTTGGAATGAGAATGGGATTGAAATGGCTGATGGTAACATCAAGGAGATGAACGCGTATGCGCCGGACTGGGACAGTCTCGGTCCAACCACTAATAAGAAGGCGGAGCCGTCTACGACGTTATTTGGCGATGGAGAGGCTGAACCGGAGTTCTCTTACGACGGTGTATACGACGAGTACGCTGCTGCTCTAGGCATCACCAGAGAAGGCGAGTCGATGTTCAATCGCGAGCGACGGGTCTCTCAAGAACTTCCTGTCATTAAGATGGGCGGAGGATCAACAACGACGAACGCATCGCGTGACGGACCCTCAAAAGCGTCGGGTACTCCAGCTGACGTCGCCTCTATCGTTGATCCAGCCCTTCTCGCACAATCACAACAACAACAATCTACCTCCCACCCTACCTCATCCCATTCGCGTGCAAATTCAAACTCCTCTCCCACCTCACCTTCTGAGCCGGATCCTTCCCGATTCCTCACTGTGCATGCACTCTCTTCCACGGATTTCATCTCCGCACCTATGATCTATGGCATACCCTCTTCTACTGGCCTTTCCCTAGATGACCTCGAGCGTACTGTACGCGAGGCTGTCAGCACTGTTGGCACTGGTGCAGACGGATGTGAATGACGAGCCGGAGGAGCGACTGTAAGGAGGGATTGAGAATGTTATGTTTATTTCTTCAGCATTTGTTTTCCCTTTCTGCTGTTCCTATAGTCGATTTCGACCAAATGCTATCTCTTTTTTTATTAATGTCATTATTCTCCATTTCTCTTCCACCCTCTCTTTCTTTCGTTCTATCATTTCGCTTTCATATTTTATTCTCTTATGAAATCAATCAACAGGATACAATGTATTACTATTACTAATATTTACTATTAATAATGTCTGAAGCCACTGTTTTATTTGCTTCTCTTCTTTACTCTTATTTTTTTTACGTTCTGCATTGTGTAAAGTTAATACTTCAGTTTGCTCTGTTTTATCTTTTCCCACTTAATTTTCCCTAGTTCTACATTCATAAAGGCGAGTGCTTAATGTAATCTTTACTTACATGCTTGGTCACAATCAGTTGACACCCTGTCAACTTCCCTTGTCCATAGCAGTTGACCAGGATATTTAAGCTCCTCTTCCTATTTTGCAAGGTTTTCTTTCACATGAAAGTGTAGAGTCTGTCAGATTACTGCAGACAACCAACGACTATAAATTAGAACGCGTTAGAAAGCAAAACGCAGGAGAGAAGGAAACATTAATGTGGGTAAGTACAAGAGGAGATACTCGAAAGGAAATGAAGAAAGGAATGAGTCAAGTCAGCGTGTATCATATTACACGGAGGGCAAAGCAAAACTACTGTCTAAGCAACCAGGCTTTATATACAACGCAACATCCACTACAAACAACCAAGGGTTTTTTTTTCGTTTTCACGCGAATTGTGCAAGGGTGTTATACGAATATCGATATCAACAACGTCCAGATCAAGCCAAAGCGTATATCACCACCTTCTGACACCATCTCACTATCAGCCTACTTGGGTAAGTGACCGATTAACAGTATTAGCGCGGAGGGTTGGAAGGGTAATTACTCCTGTGCGGAATTCCGTTTCCGCAAACCGAACCTCCGCTTTTTCTTCTCGACGCTACTCCTCTCGCTCGTAGCGCTAGCCGTCGAGTTAACGCTCACCCCAGAATCGTGACGTGCCAACGGAGGTTGTGCTATTCCGCTCGCACCCAAACTATCTTTCCTAGCACTACCAGTGCCATTTCGGTTTTGGTTAAAGTCGGAGGAATTCGAACGGGATGGCGTGATCGGCTGAGGCTTGGAGGAGGAAGAGCCTTCGATGTTCTCAGCTGTTGAGAAACTCCCTGCGTTCATAGCTTTGATGAACCCTCGTTGGGTAGCATCGACGTAGTCCTCGAGCGTGTATCGCGAGGTTGTTTTAACCGAGACGCCTTTGTCGGAAATATGGAGGCCTCGATTTTTTAGGCTTTTATTTTGGTTTCAATATGCGGAAAACGGACGGATATTTAGATGGAGAGTTAAGGGAAGTAAGATCGCCCAGTGAATTCGGGAAGGAAGACATGCATATGATTTTTGGGGGTGGATATCGAGTCGGATCAGCATAACAGGTGGAGGCGCATATGGCAATGATCATCGGTTAGAAAACCCAGCACATGCACATCAAAAATGGATGAGACGTACGATTCCTTCGTCGCAGTGACAGTCGACGAAATCTGTTCCGCAATGAACTTGACAGCCAGAATCGCTCCAACGAACGCCGCTGCTGTCTACGCGTCGACAAGCCCGCCACACATCGTCATCATATACGTCACCAGACCACCGATACAGTGACCCATGTAGGCCATAGATCCCATAGGGCAAATGGGACACCAGAAATGATGCGTTACAGAGTGATAGGGAGAATAAGAATCGTGTGAGCGACGTAAGCATGCGTTCGGCTAGATGTGACGAGTATGGCATACCAGAGTGAAGACAAATAGGTCAAACCTGGTGACGACATTTTCCAGGTTAACTACCTGCCTCAATCTATGCGAGAAAAAAATATGCACGCACCAGGTAGCCATTTCTTACTACACACACACAAAAAAATATTTTTGGAGAATTCAAAATTCGTCAAGGCTTAACGGGGCCAGGACGCCACGAATAGGATGTCAATAGTAGCAGACTACGTGTCTGCCGACCGCAACTCGAGAATATTTGACGAGAAGTGTGCGTATGCAGTAAGTATACAAGAAACGGAGGACGGTATTTGAGTGGAGATGGTGGAAAGAGGAATAGGGATGTGCATGATGGATACATCGAATTCGAGTGAGGAGTCGGATATGTGCCTGATTGAGACAGCTGCTGGCACCCGGTCGATCAATCCCTCCGTCCTCGCTTAATCGTCACCACTCTTTTCATCCTACCTGCCTAACTATCGGTGCCGTCTACATGGTTACTTCTATGCAACCAAAATTACCAAAGTCCGAACGAAGCATCGTCTTTACTACACCACCTTCTTATTTATCCCTCTTTTTCTACGGTTTCGTGTGCAACCAGGTTTCATCACGGAATCAGACCATGCAGCGCCCTAAAAAGTGAAAAGTGACAGCGTCTGATCTCAACTCGAATAACAGGGTAGCCCACAATCAGCGTCTCGAAATGAATGCAGACTCTCTGTGAATCAAACGCTGCTATGGTGATCCGTACTGTCTTCGGCAGGGATCAAGTGTCTTGGCGCTCCGTTGTGAAGCCGTAAACCGGCCTATTCCTCATTCCTCTCTCCCACAGTCGTACCCACGTGTACCTCTACATGGATTGAAACGTGTAAAGTAAATTTCCCATAATTCAATTTGTCTGCATAGACCTTTCACCTTTCTCAGTCGGCCCACACCTCTTCAGTTTAAGTATTTATTATAACGGATATCGGCACCTGACATAGAGCACAGGCAATAAAGCTTCTAAGTAAGAAATGGTTATAGACTGAGCAAATTCGAGGAGTGGTTCATCACTGTAATGCCAAACAGAAATCCGAAACTGGAGTAGCAGAGATGAACTTGATGCAGATGCTCGAGAGTGTGCACCACAAAGGTGAGTCCCCCAGACTGATACACTAACACTCCAGCTCGCTGGAGAAGATGCACACATCAGTCATTAGAGAAGCTTACAAAAGTATTTATCTGTGAGTAACAATTCAATATTACTGGCCCATACCACGTTTCGACCTAGCCTCTCCCATGAATCTTCTGAAAACCCTAGGACCCGTTCAGTGCACCTGTACCTGAGATACAACCTGCCATATATGAGGAAATATTATTCAGAAAATCATGATCTCAGGCCATCTGTCTACCAAAAATAGAAAAAACGAGTCAGATCTATTTTCCGAGTTGAGACTAGCCCTGTCAGTATCTCTCCTATAAAACAACAACACGAGTTTAAAATCTTTTAGAAATAGCCAAAATAACCCACTTACACAGCCTAATAGTATTCCACCCTCAAGGGGGAAAAATTCTAAAGTGGTACTTGTCCATTGGCAAATGTGAGGGTGAGAATAGTACACCGTGAGAACATTATCCCATTGCTAGTGCTTGATATCAACCGATTGCCATCACGTTACACAAGATTGAGTTCGCTGCGAGATTGTGCTACTGAACATTCTCTTAACTTGATCCGGCGAAATTAATCCCTTACAAGGATACGCTCGTTTTCTCACACCCCCGACAGAGCATATCAGCAGTCCGCGTCACCTGTCAAGTTCATAAATCCATATAATCAACAGAATCTCATTCCGTCCGGAATGTTTTCCCCCCACACCCTCTCCTCCAATGTTAAACCGGACTTTTAACTATGGATACGCTCACTCATTCTTCGCCCGCCTGGGGGATGGAGACATTGACCCACGTGAAGTACCATTGATTGTCTCTGAATCAGTCACAATACAATGCTTCAACGTGGCACAGTTCATCCTCTTAGTTTACAATGCTCGTTCGTACTCAGACCCAGACTTCTTTGACAAGATATTTCTAACAGAAATGTAATTAAAGTTATATCTATGGATAAGGAGGTATAGAGACCGTTTACATTATCTCGCTGACATCCGCTAAGCTGTGACCTTGCAGATAAAATTCTTCTGGGTGGGTGAGCTTAATGTTCACTTATAAACTCCCGATAATTCATGAGTGGCATCAAAGTCGAAATGGCGCAGTCTTATTAGTCTGATATATTTTGCGGTGAGAACTCTGCAGGTACATTTCGTCTACATTATTCAGACATTAATGTTTAGAATCACTACATCGGACTTCTTGGAGTAATCAGTCTTATAGTAGGTAAACAATGAGTCGTTTGTCATTTTTACCGGACTGTAGGAAGGTCTGACACTAGTATGTTCCTCTAGAAGGCAGCTATAATCACAGTCTCCTGAGGTAAATAACCAATATTATCGTCATGACTGCTTACTTATATTGAATCCGAACATGTGTCGCGTGAAGCTGTGTGTTTTCTCTCCCGGCTATTCATACTTCGTTCTGATGTGTAGGTTAGGTCGAGCAACTTTATGGATTGCTAAATTATGCAGTGAGCGAACCACTGTCCTTCATCATAATTACACCTAATCGCAGTACTAGATACGGTCACAATTACCCTTGTAGACTGTGAGTAATACGTTTAATGTTCAAAATAGAATAGTATCCAAACAATTGATTCATAGACATTCTCCAAATTCGAGTATTGGCACTTTATCAGCAAAGTAGGTATATTGTCCCACAGCGCGATTTCTCTTTTCTAATTTTGACAGGCAGAAGACTGTCAATCTGCCTAAAGGCACTTCTCATCGTCAGTGCAGGCATATATCTCAGCCTCATTATTTACCGCACTTTGTTTGAAGAAGGTAAGGCTGTCAATCGACTTTCCATTACGATTAAGAATATATTGAGTTATAGTGTGGTTTAGTTGATATTGGCCATCTTGCACGAGACGTCAATGTTTGCGGAATTAGAAGAAGTTCTCCAGAGTTACTAGCAGTCATATTATGGTGGGCATATGCTTGCTCTTCCGTTGTCTTTCTAATGTAACGCAGGGCTTCTCCTTTGACGTATGGGTTGATTTTACAGCTCCTGGCTATTGGCAAGGCTGCAGAGTACTGGAGAATGTCATCCGGTTTCAAAGGTTTCGATCTTGTCAGAGTTATTATTCAAGACCAGGTTATGTATTATACCTTGTAAGTGTAACATTTATGCACAATATCTAACTCAGATTGTTGTAGTGTTATATTTTGTTGCGTGCTACAGATCGTGGAAATTCGAGTTACGAAAAGCAACCCTTTTGTTGCTTCTCTCCTTGCTGCAGCTGGGAGTCCAACCATACTCTGTGTCCTCGGCAGCCACCTTCTGATCAACCTAAAGGAAGCAGGCGAGAGAGGGTTAAGCGAAGGAACCGTGTACAGGCTGGAGATCATCAGCAATATTGAATTTGGAGAAGGTACTTCGCAATGTTGTCCTCTCTGCATTTGATGCAACCAACTATTTTCAGGTGTCCCAGTTGCAGGTTCGACAAGAGAATGCGCGTTGAATTCATGAAGATTCCTGCTTTCTTCCTATTCTCATTTCAACCGGAAACCTGTGAGCGGATACGGCATATGGATACATCGAGGTCTATTACCTATTGACAGATGAAGGCATTTTCCCTCTTCCTGGACCTCGCATGGCGATATCTAGAAATTTAGTACTACAAGTAGTAACAATGCTGTGTGGATGTTCGGAATAATGCTAGCTTGTTTGTGCTCGTTGAAGACACTCGCTTCTTTTGAGATAAATACTGTACTCTCTTGATCCAAGATATTCGTTGAATAGTTCTGTACAATAATTTGTGCGAATATAGTCTAAGTTTTTGTGTCAATGAAACAAGGTGCAAGACGTTGGGAGGCTGCGGGAAAAGCACACATTCACACGATCTTCCACCGCCACAATTGGAAATGTGGAATTTGTTATTTGTAGTAGGACACTCAACTTACACTAGTGTAATGATACATGTATAACTGATTGATGTGGCTGGAACGTATTGGATGCGTACACACGCCACAGTGTATTTATGTGCATGTCTAGGGCTAGACCTATGAAAAATGTGTCTCTTCAGAATCTCTTGTAGTTGAGGCCTTGAGAGTAAGCTGTTCTTCTATTCCTAACGAGATGATCCGGCTGGCAGACTATTAGGTGAACAATAAGGTGCATCACAGTGCCTCAACAGGCAAGGGTTTCTAAGTGCCATATTTGAATCGACAGGCTATAGGTGACGAATCTTGCATTTAAGACAATGATTATCTATTTCTGTACAGTACTGTTCTGCTTCTGCACAACGGTAGCATCTAGTATCTACCACACCTTGGTAATTATGTCCATCTATTTCCCATGCAATGTCATTTTCACAATTCATGACTGTAAAACACTATGTCATTAACTTGATCCGGCCAGATCGTACAAGAGCTGGAACATTGTCATCCCGTGTTTCAGTGAGTCAGACAAAGTATAGGATCGGTTTGTGTTCATAACAGGTATAAAAAGAATCCTAGTCAGGATGGATGTTAACATGCATCTTTCTTCCGATGTCAAACTATTCTGTTGGCTACAGACATGCCTATTCCTATTCATTCTTCGCGCACTCTGAAGTGGTAGACGTTGATCCTACAGTAGTGCGATCGGCTGTCTCCGGGTTTATTTCGGCACAATACTTCAGCGTGGCTCTGCTAACCATCATGGTCTACAACTCTTGTTTGTGCTTCTGTCTCTTGAGATATAATAGTACTCATAGAAGGCGCAACTCAAGTTACAACGATGGATAAAGAGGTATTAAAGTGGTGCGATCTTTTGTCAACTTGGAGGAACTGCTGACTGTGTCCCTCCAGATACAATACTTTTGGGTAAGTTCAATCCATTTGTCTTAGTCCGCTGCCTGTAACTTGTTAATTGTGACGAAGTCCAGGCCATGCACCCATATTAGTCTGGTGTATTTTGCAGTAAGAGCTATAATGTATATGGTGTCTAAGCTCATTCTATTCTGATGTTCAGAATCACTACGCTGGACTACTAAGTGCTATTTGCTACGTGATCAGTAAGTGAGCTTTCTTGCGTTCCACCGATTTGCAAAACTAGTTGATAACAGTATACTATTCAAGATAGTGGCTTTGTACAGAATGTGTTAAGGTACAAACAATAATATTGTCAACAATGTATACTAACTGCGAATCTAAATTTGTTTCACACAAAGCTGTGTGTTTTTTCTGTTCTGAATGTCTGGCATTCTAATTGACTAAATATTAGGCCGTATAACAACATGGACTAGTAATATCTGTGGTGAGCTATCCGCTATTATTAGCCATTAATCAATATAACCCAGATGCCAGATCTGATTACAACAACCCTCATAGACTGTAAGCAAGACTTCTAAAGCAATAGGTATGAATTGTGGGATTTCAACTTATTTGTAGATATTCTCCAAATTCGAGTATTGGCACTATATGAACAGAGTAAGTACATTTGTATTTTGAATGAGATATTAACTTATTTTTTGAAGGTAGAGGGCTTTCAATTTTCCTTAAAATGTTTTTTGGCATAGAAGCGGTAAATGGCCTTGGTCTTCTTATTTGTAATACAATTCTTCAAGACAGTTCAGTTACCAATTGTGCTTTCATTTTGAGTATAGACAAGGCTAAAATATAGGATGGTTTAGTCACTATAGGTCACCTTTCACAGATCATTAAAGTCTGTGGACCCAGCAGAGATTCCTCCGATATGCTAGGAGTAATGTGGTGGTGATTAATATATTTACTAGTACTTATCTTGGCTCCCTCTGACATAACGAAGGGCTGTTCCTCTCGCATATGGGACAATCTTATTTTGCCTGGCCCTCTTCAAGGCAGCAGAGTACTGGAGAATGTCGTCCGGTTTTAAAGGTCTCCAGCTTGTTAGAGTCCTCATTGAAGACCAGATTATATACTATGCCTTGTAAGTCGAGTACTCGTGAACAAGTTAGCACCTCACTTGAGTTCTTCTAGTGTGATGCTTTCATGCATAATAAACATAGTGGATATTCGGGCCTTTGATAACGATCCATTTGGTGCATTCGTTCTAACCGCGAATGGCAGTCCAATTCTTCTATGTGTACTCGGAAGCCACCTTCTGATCAATCTGAAAGAAGCGGGCCAGAGAGGAGTTAACGAAGGAACCAGCTACAGGTCGGGGAACAACAGCGGCATCGAATTTGGTGGAGTTACTTCCTATCGTTGTTTTCTCTAGACTCGACTTGCTGATCCTTCATGCCCATTCCAATAGCAGATTCAAACGAAGAAAGCACGTTGAGTGTTTAACAGACATTGCTCATCTTTTATCAGGATGTCAATTGGAGGCGAAATTCTAATTTACAACGGAACCTTATATTCTACATTACCTTAAGTTTGCTGTATTTTACTTTGTTTGTTATCAATTAATCTACACCTCGAAATACGCTTATGCAAGAGAAGGAACGATGTTCATGACCGAACTGGACATGAAGAAGCCACTTGCGGATCAGCTTGTGTGTGTCGCCTAGATTGTCCTTCCTGGAAGAAATCGCAAGCAACCGACGAACATCGTCGCAAAATCACTGGGACGATATCAGAACCACCATTCAGGCCCGAGAATTTCGGACATCTTACCTGAACAGCGTATTGCATGTTCAAGTGTACGTTCACCCAAGTGTACCTGTCTGTTGATGTCGTATTTAGCATCTGATCAGCAACAAGCCGTAGAGGCCTTAATGGAGTGCGACTGGTTGCTCCAAGCATAATAATGAAGCGTTGACTGTCTAAAGGGAACGCGCGTTCCTTGTCAATAGTTCCGAGGTATGCAACCTTTCTTCCACATCTTTCCGGCCAATGCACAATAAATAAGACATCGACATCCACAATCGATGCTCAGATCATAGAGCCATCAGCAGCATCCTTCATCGAATGCGTAGATGATCCATCTGATTTCTCTACCTCTCCATCCGTCTTCGGCGGCTGTTCTTGCTTACTTTGATTTCTGGGGCGCGAACTTTGATTTTTCCCCTTGCTCTTGTTGGCTGAACTGAATTTAGAAGGACGCCGCTGTTGGTCTGAGGTGTACAATTGGCGTCTACTTGGTGGGAGTGATTCGTAGTTTCCACCGCCAAACATCATGCTGCGAATAACGAGCGAGTTATTGATATAATTGTCATAGGACATTGACAAGAACTTACTGGAAAAGAGCCATTATTGTCCACGTGCGGTTATCTGCCTCGCGGAAGACGAGTGAGCGTGGGCTGTAGAACACCTACAAATAAAGCAAACAGTTAACAGGATCTTCCACCGAATTTCTAAATATTCCTTACTTCATCGTCAACTTCGTGGCTTTTTCGTGGCAGACAATGCAAGAACTTCCAATCACGTTTTGCTCCTTCGCAAAGTTTTTCTGTAACTTGGTAGCCCTGGAAGTCCTTGACCCGCTGCTCATATTCTGCTTCCTGACCCATACTGATCCACGTATCTGTGACAACGACGTCTGCGCCCTGAACAGCTTCACGTGGGTCTTCCGTCCAAGTAATCGACTTATCGCACCCCAGTTCAACTACTTTGTCCCAGACCGGTGGTGGTGCACGATATCGAGGGTTCGGGGGAGACGCGACTTGGAGTTTATGCCCGAGTCGCGGATAGGTGACAAGCATGTCGTGCAATACATTTGCGCTATCGCCGACATAAGCGACTGTTAAATTACGAATTCTCCCGTGGTTCCGCGGGATGTGATACTGAGCAGCGGCAGTATCAATAGCATTGGACTTGGCATTACCCATCAATGGCTGAGTTGGGGTCATTGTTGTTGGGCTTTGTCCTGGGTCCTCAGGTGCGGGTGGAGGAGGAGCTAATTTAGAAGCACGGATTGGTTCTTCTTGGAGCGACTTTTCCCCGTAAAGGGTCTGAAGGTCTGCAAGAACTTGTGTCGGATGCCAATAAGCCGAAAGAGCATTGATTACTGGTACCTCGGCATATTTCGCGAGTTCCTGTAAAAGAATACAATCAGCATGACGGAGAATTTCTTTCTTTCTTTTCACCCAGCAAATTATACGAACCTCGATCTCACTGTGCTCGCCGACGCGTGCAAAAATACCTTGGCACATCCCGCTCAACACTCTTGCGGTATCCCGTGCGTTCTCGTTGACACCCAACTGAATATCGTCCTTGCCCAGAAAAATTGCCTGCCCACCAAGTAACCGTGCAGCAGTCTCCGCTGAAACGCGTGTGCGAGTGCTGCGTTTAGAAAATAACAATGCGATGCTCATATTACGCAATGATTGAGGTGGTGGACCGTGATTTGCCGCGTTTGGTGTATCGAACGACATCTGCCAGACCATTTCTCGCGTAGGTAACTTGGTAGGAGGGAGAACGCGTTTGGAGGTCTTCTTTAGCCAGCGGGCCATCGCGATTATCTCGTTAATTTGTCGAGGCTCGAGGTCCGCCAGGGACATGAGCGCGCGCGGGAGAGGCATCTCGCTTATGTCCGTCTCTGTTTTTGGGGAGGAAACGTCTACAGAAAACAAAGTGGTTTCCTCGCTTATACGTGCTAGAATCAGCTAGATGAGACGACTGAAGTCGATTACATTGTAACAACGGCTTTTAAAGTCACGTGCACTTTAGGTTTGATGCCGTCGATCTCTCTTGCATCATCATTTACTTCGTTGCTGTTGCTATTAGTATTAACGTTGCTATCGGTATTTAGAACATATTCGTCTCTTTTCTGTCATGGTCGGCACAACACAGAGACCAGATCGTGACACAGATATCCAAGATCAGAACTTCGACCTCTTCAAAGACTGTCTAGCAAGTCGAGTCCTTGTCCGCCTATCCGGTTCAGCTCAAGGCGACACTGGCGATAGTACTGAGGATCTAGACGAGTTCAGCCTCTATCTCGCACAAGAAGCCTGGCCTACAATTCCTCAATCAATGCGGGGGCTCACATATAATACGTCACCGATACCCGAAGCAGAGGATATACCCATCAACATTTCACCAACTTTAATAGACACTTTGTTTGCGTATGGCATTCTTCCTTCTGGTTCACTAGACGGCCCCGATCCGGACGCTGCACAAGCATTCATCCTCCACGTTCTTACATCATACATCCCACTCGCCACTCAATCCCCACCTCAATGGTCCAGCACACGTACTTCTGAATGCGAAATCTGTAGCCGTGCGGTCCCGTTAACCTATCATCACCTCGTACCACGCTCTATGCACGAACGTGCTGTCAAGCGTGGGTGGCACCCTCCCGAGATGCTCAGAAGCGTCGCTTGGTTGTGTCGACCATGTCACAGTGCTGTACACGCAGTCGCGTCGAATGAAGAACTTGCGAAGGAATTTTATACGTTAGACAGGTTACTCGCCCGACCTGACATACAACGATGGGAAAAATATGCCGCGAAGCAGAGGTGGGGTGCGCGACGAGGATGAACGGAGTGGCAGTCTCCAGACTGGAGGAAAGGACTGCGGTGCAATTTCAAAAGTGTAAATTGGGCTGGTAGAGCTATTCATTGCTTTCCATTGCTTTCTAAGTTCCTTCATGTGTTTGAATGTACATATAATCTTGTCGCAATCACAGCATCCCTCCATCCGGCTAATCAGAACTTGGCAACGAGAGAGACTTGGATTTGCAGAATTAGGAGTTGTGCAGGACAAATACTGCGAATTTGGTCACACGAAGGTGCCTGAGATCAAGCACAAGATGTTGTTGCAAGAAACACTCCAGGCAAACTCTATGTGGTGCAAAGACGTTTGCACAGCTTTACTCCAAGTGTTTATCGTTTGTCTATATGACTAGTATACAAGTAATGTAAATTTTCATTCTTTAATTCGCCGAAGATAATCGAGGTAGAAATTGTTAGGGCACAAAGGTTAATCTCAAAGTGAAACATGCACCAATGGAGTTAACCAGGCCTTTTCCAACGAATATTACGTTCATCCGTGTCTCGAGTGGACCGTACTTGGGTCAAATCGATGTACTCTCCTTCCCCAGGACCGCGTTCTTCGCCTACAAAACACATTAATTAGTTCAAGTTCGTACACGGCATGCAAAGGCTCACTTCGATCAACTATGTCAGCATCGTTGGCGTCAACGTCGATGTCATCGTCATCTGCATCATCCTCGTCATCTCGTTCCCACCTGTCGTTTGCGAAGGCAGCTGGGTTGCGTTTACGGTCAACTGCCAGATCTGCCATCATACGTCGCATAGAGTCTTCCTTGGCCGCGTTAAGCTTTGCCTCTTTCTCCGATTTCATTCGTTCTAACTCTGGAAGATATTCCCTAGAAAGGCAATCAGCAAGCAGATTTCCTTAACAGATGGACGACTATACTTTTCATATTCTTCCCGCGAATTCTCGACCGCTTCGAAGTACTCTTTCATACCATCTCCCGTAACAGACGAAACACCGACTGCCTTCAAGTGCTTGTAAAACTCGTCCAAAACGAGAGACATGCTATTCATAAGGCTGTTCATGTAAGTAGGTTCGCCGTCTGAATCTCGCGAGTTGGCATGGCTTGCAAGCGCAGCCTGGAATGCCTCAAAGTCCTGCATCCATTCCAGTGCGAACTCGTGTCGCTGTGCATCCGTCTTGTTGAAGACGAGAATAAAGGGCAGCTTCGTCTTGTACAGGATACTGCATGCATAAAGCATGTTTGACATGAACGTCGCTGGAGCAGTTGTCCGTGGGGTGTCGATGATGTACGCAACAACTGTCGGAAATGAGGAAGCAATGGCATCCGTAATGATTGCTCCTGATGCAGACCAGGTGAAAATCTCAATCTGTCCGGGAGTATCCAAGATCACATGTCTAAAGTACATAAGTACACTAAATAATCGGACATGCAATACGAGCAAGACTTACTGAAGGTTATCCGACCTCTTCTCTATTAGCCCAAGCACTTGGTCAAATTTCGTGGTAAACAAGTTGAGCGCAGTTAGGATACCGCCATTCGGTCCGAGATTGTACCTTGGAAGAGGAGAATTGCCAGTGTCAGTCGTCGAAGCAAGAGCAACGAGCGACCGCATACTGCTTCATGACTTCCTTATAGTTAACGGTATCTCGAATGTCTATGTTCGTGTCAAAAGGTGTACTTGAAACAGCTGGATCGAGGTTGAGGATGTACGGCGGTGCAGGCGGGTCGAGTGAGTGCAGGTAGGAGTTCATCCTTTGCACGAATGTTGTCTTCCCTGAACCAGCCATACCAATCGTTATTATAACAATAGGTTTCTTGGATGCATTTTCCTGAGACGCCGACGTGGAACCTGTCGCTGTCGACATTTTAATGATTGTGGTAGAAAGTTAATGAATTTTGTCTCGATCGAGCTCCTCTTCCCTGTGAGTCCCGTGATTTCACTAATCCTGAGAGCACGTGATCGATTCACGTCCCCAACGCGCCTTGCACTCTTACTTTAATACTTACTTACACTCCGTTCTGTGTTCATGATCTTTCTGTGATGGCATTCACTGAAGGCTTTCCTCTTATCCCACTATTAATCGCAGTGCTCCTCGCGGCTCATGGACTTCGTAAGAAGTCGTTATCGCCATCTGGGGCATTGGCCGCCTTAGTTGTAGGGTTCATCATGATGTCCGCGCGCGTCCGTACTTTTGGTGTCTCGCTCATTGTCTTCTATCTTGTCGGATCGCGAGCGACAAAAATCGGACAGCTCACAAAGGCAACTCTAGAAGAAGGACACCAAGAAGCAGGGTATAGAACAGCTGAACAGGTCCTCTGTAATTCATTCTCGGCATTCCTTGCTACGCTCCTCTGGATTGCGCTTTTCGTACCTGGCTCGTATCTTGCCCAGATTCTTCCACAGGGAATTGTCTTTCAAGAGGAGCCTTACTCTCAAAATGTCTGGTGCCCGCTATCGGTCTCGCACGGACATGGATGGAGTCGATTCTTGTTACTTGTCTCGTTGGGGTAAGTGGATCACCTTCCTATTCACGTAACTGTCACTTAATATTATCAGACATTTTGCATGCTGCCTTGGGGACACGCTTGCATCAGAACTCGGGATACTTTCTAAGTCTCCACCTATTCTTATCACAACCCTCGCGCGGGTCCCTCCTGGAACAAATGGTGGCGTCTCTATTCTTGGTACTGCCGCATCTGCGTCGGGCGGTGCCATCATGGGTTTGACAATGGCCATTTCACTTGCAATGGAAAGTTCTGCTTGCCGCGAAAACGTTATCGGATTACTTGTGGAGCTAACTATTGTTGGCGCCGCTGCCGGATTGTTTGGATCTTTGGTTCGTTTTAGTTATGCGGGATTTCATGTCCGTCTAATTCTGACCACTCTGATTAGATCGATTCCCTTATGGGCGCTACTATTCAGCGCACACGCTACTCGAAAAAGACCAAACGCATCTTACAAGATGAAACACCCGCCCCCGTATCTTCATCTGATGAAATCCAGGTTGTCAGTGGATTCGATTTGCTTACAAATAACCAGGTAAGTTCTTGAAACGATGACGAAGATTTTGTACTGGAAAGTCAATTATAGGTGAACCTAGTGTCTTCGATAATCATTGCTCTTGCAACAGGATATCTTGCTTAATATCATATCACCTACACTGGATGTTCTCGTACTGCACGCTACTCGATTACACTGAGCAGCTGCACTTACGCATGCTTGTGGGTCTTCCTTCCACCACCACAATCTAGTAGCTGCTTGACCCTAACACTCAGGGTTCCGTCTTTTACGTCCTTTAGTACAATTATCTCTGTCATTAATGGCATTCGGAACTCTTAGTATTGTGAGAAGAACTGAACCTTTTCGATTTTCTGACTTTATTGCCCTTTGCAAGCACTGTGTACTACCTGATGAGAACGAGTTTGAATAAGATTTTCTTATTTACTTATACCTTCGAGATTGTTTACTCTAATACACATACACATAATTGTATTCTCATCCTAGGTCCTGATTGAGTTTTGCAGTACAGCAGATACTATTAGCATTCAACACGAATAGACGATTAGAACATCAAGAAAATGATAACTACATAACAAGACTATGGAATAAACAAGCAGCTCAATGCTGGACGAAAGCAGACGCATGGAAACCAATAAATAAAATTTCTTTAAGGTATCTGTCCCTGGACCAGGAGACAAACAAGACCTGTCAAGCACTACTTGTTCCTTCTTCGTTCGGTCCTGCAGCTGCTGGAGCGCCTGAAACGAATTAGCGTGGCTTAGGACAGAAATGCAAAAGCAACCATACCCTCAGCGAATTCAATGTCGCTGATAGCCCTCAATTGGTAATTGGTCCCTTCGTTTACCCCTCTCTCGCCTGCTTTCTTCAGATTAATTAGAAGGTGGCTTCCAAGGACACAGAGGAGTGTTGGACTTCCTGCTGCAGCTAGAAGAGTCGCAACAAAAGGGCTGATAGTTGGAACTCTATCAACTACTATCTGAATCACAGAACAAAACATCACACTGTAGCTACTTGAGTTAGATAATTATACACAATTGTTTTACTTACAAACTGTAGTACAAAACCTGGTCTTCAATGAGGACTCTGACAAGATGGAACCCTTTGAATCCGGATGACATTCTCCAGTACTCTGCCGCCTTGAAGAGTGCCAGACAAAGTAAAATCATTCCATATGCCAGTGGAATAGTCCTGCCATACAGTAGTAATATATTAGTTAGAGTACAAGAGTGTAGGCATAATACACACCATGAGATGATTGATAGTGCCTGAGGAGGATTTCTGTTGAACCCACAAATTCCGACTCCATGTGCAAGAAGACCAACAGCAACTGGAGCACACCACATCTCAGTATACTCTTCAATTTAGGCAGAAATTCGATTGAAGACCTTACTATCTTCAAACAGAGTGTCTTTAATAAGTAGACTGAGACCAATACTTGCTTCTAGAGCAAGAAGTACTTTGAGGCAGATTGAAAGTCCTCTATCTGGAAAAACTTGGTTGAGAAACTATCTGTAAAGGCACCGTACTTACTTTGCTGGTAAAGTGCTAATACACGGATTTGAAGAATGTCTGTAGAGCAATTATGTGAATGTAAAATAGTATTTAAATTATGGAAGTAATACTTACAGTCTATGAGAAGAATTGTGATCAAGTCTGGCCCTGGGTTAAATTGGAACCGTTATGTATGCTAGTGAACAGCTCACTGCATAAGTTAAATGTCCAATTCATTGCCTGGCCTAACCTCTAAGTCAATTGGAAGAAAGAACAGCTAAAAGTGAAAACGTACAACTGTAAGCAGCGACCCGTGTTCAGGTTCAAGGTCAGCACATGTTACTAATATTCCTGGTTCTCTTTACCTCACCTCAAAAGGGTTTGTTCGAAGCCAAGACCTATAGTAAGTAAATATGTACCAGTGTCAACTACTTCCTGCGAGCCAGTGAATTATTTAAATATTTTGCATACTGATTATAGAACATATTATGCCAAGGAGCCCAATGTAACGATTCTGAACACGCAGATTAGAACCAGTAAGCTAATTTACAGCCAAGTAGTACCCACTGCAAAGTATATCAGAGTAATAGGATTGCACGGCCTTGACTTTTTCAGAGCCGGTAAGTCACGAATATACACATGTAGGTATTGATCCCACCCAAAAAAATTTCATCTATCGAGACGCAGTTCAGCAAGTTGTTAGGAGATAAATGTATGGTCAACATACTTCTTTATCTAACGTCGTCACTTTGATTGTGCTTTCTGTCAGTGAAATTCTAGTTCAAGATCTTATCGTACGAACTAGCGTAGTAGACCAGGACAGTCAACTGGGCCACGAAGAAGTACTGGCTGGTGACGTTTTCGGAGATAAACAATTGCAACACGCTTGGATCAACATCTTCAGTATCAGAGCGGGTGAAGAACGTGTAGGCATGTCTATAGCTAAGAGTCGGGTTCGCCATTGAAGAAGAGAGTGCAAGGAAGTACGAGAGAAGCTAAAGAAATACTGCAGGCTGTTGTCTTCTTATAAGGATTATAAACATGAATGGTAATAATACGAACTGTAATTCTGCTTCGTCCGACATGCTAGATGAGAGTATTGAGGCTGAAATTTCTTCTACGAGATTAATTATCCAAGTCGCGAAGTTAGCATCAACTCGATAGTCTGATTTATTATTTTTAATGAATCGCACTTCACATCAAGTGCCGGGGATACATCAGATAACCTCTAACGGCATCAACATCAAGTTATGTATATCACCGCAGTTCGTAGACTCGTTGTCAGCCATCCTTCAGGACCAAAACACGCGTCGAGGTCTTTATTGAGCTGTATAATACATTGTCTATGTGACACCATATACCATACATACTGTACCATTTCAATACGCGACGTTTCGTGCCTCAGGAAATACAAAACATGTTGAAGAACAAGCCGTCGTCCTAATCAATCATCCCACCGCTGGACAACCAAACTCTTCTTCAACCCTTCCGCCTCGTTCGTCTGCGTGTCCTCACCCGGAATACGGGTCGGCCGCATGGTTTGAATCGTATACGAACGCGTCAGGTTCTCATGTCGTGCACTCTGTAACACAAATAATCGATCAGATATACATAAATAAAAGCTCTTGAGACGTGCAGGGATGGACGTACGTGTTGATGATGCTCCGGATGTCCCTTGCACTACTCGTGAAGGGCATTCTCAATCGTACCCTAATACGTCAATTAGTAAAGGCAAGAATATTGTGAACTAAGCAGACACAACTTGTGCCGTCTGCAAGCTGAATCGCGAAGGTCATGGTCCCATGTGTCTCATCTGATTCATATTTCGCCTGTTGGCTTCTCGAGCTTCATGAGGCGCTGCTGCCAGAGCTGGATCCTTGGGTAGGGAATGCAGGTGTGGGAGCACAGAGGCGATGCCCATCGCCTGGCGAGGGCGGGGTTGAGATAATATGTAATATTCATGCAAGCGATGAGCTATGCAGAGCTCGACCAGCTGGCCGTAACGAGATCGGCTGGCGCTTGTCTTTGTGCATCAGACGATGGACTGGAGGATGTCTGCATTTGCAAGATCGTTGCAATCTACGAGCGGTCCGTTCTCGATACTGAACCCAATGCGTCAAACGTGATGTGGAGTGTTGCCCTCTCTAGCTCTTCTCCCGGAAGTGGAAGTCGTATCGGGCACCGATTGGCTTTCGAATTCGTTGTTACAAGGTGTATGACCAGAGTCACTGAACACAGTACATGGTGTGGGCCCCATACGCACTACATGGGAGTTGAGCAATGGCATGAAGTGTGAGGGTGAAGAATGCGCCGAGCAGATAAGGATGAAGACCAAATCGGCGGTCTTCTTAGGGGGCTTCGGACGCAGCAGCTGGTGCATCGGAGCCATTGTCTCTGCTATTCGGATTTTGTATAGAAATCTAAGGCGCAAGGACATGGAATCAAGGACATTCATGATTGAAGGCACAAGAGCTAGACAAACCATCTCTCATCACCAGCGAACCAAGTCCGGCCCTCCCACCCATCACCATCACTTTCGTCATCACTGTCTTCCGGATCACTGGGATGTTCCGGTCTTCTGCTCGATGACCAGAATCATTGACCGAGCGTTGCAAAACAAGGATGGGAGCGACGACGACGCGCCAGAGGACCTGTCACACGGTGTCACACAGTGGGTCCACCGCTACATTGGTCTGGCTGCTACTTCAGTGTAACTTCACCCCTAGCACTCGATGTTTAGTCTTTCTTGTCATCCGGTATGATTGCTCCCTCATCCAATCCTTAATTTTGAGACAAAAACAAACTTATTCAACTTCTTTGGCTCTCACAGCCCTTCTTCATTAGTGTCAACACTGTAACTTGCTGTAAGGATTTGCTTTACTAGTTTGTATTTTATTATTACTACATTACTGATCGAGTCAGATCATTGTACAGTGGGACCCACAAGTGCATATATTCTCATTATAGTTAGTTACACTTCCTTCTCATGTATCTACACATGTATACCCTTATAAAAGACAGTATTAATTACTAAGTAAAGGGGATTCTTTTCCCCTGACCCCTTACTTGAGTACTAGGTTATCCCAGTCAGTAGTTGAGTGAACTAAGAGTAAGAAGAATTCCCTTGTAAGGAACAGTGAGTTTCCTTACATATTTTTGACTGTACCCACCTAGTATCAAAACCCCTTACTAGACACTAAGAAACTAAAGAGTCTAATCAACCATAGGTCTCTCTTATTGTCTAGTACCCCTTAGCAATTATTAGTGAGTAAAGTTATGAATTTTTGAGTAGAAAGAGAGACTACTTACTAGATTGACTCCTAGTAGGTTTACAATACTTTAGAACACTATAGAATACTTCTAGAATATATTAGTACATATTAATATGGATTAGTACTAGATACACTAGAGGTTCACATTAATCAGATAAGTTAAGAACTAGACATCCATGAAGGCAAAAAGGAATGAACAAGTGTGTATTGAGTCTATAAACAATAGACAACAAGATTATTTATAGAATACTAAATACAATATAGTTACTAAGTCTTGACAGATAATTATAGAAGAGCCTCCAAGCTTAGAGATTAATACTAACATACTAGAGTATAAGTCCTTGTCCTTTATAGGCTTGAGACAAAATAACATACCTAATACTAGAAGTAAGTCCTTGTCTCTTGTAGGCTGGAGACAATCTAATAAACCTATTCTAGATAATAAGTCTTTGTCTGTACAAGGCTAGAGGTACTCTAATAAACTTTTACATACTAGTAACATAAAATTAAAGTATGTAACTGTTAGTGACAGTATAGAGGGGACCTGAAGGCTCAGTAGAGGGACCCAGGCTACAACTATCCTACACAACAGAAATACAGAACACAAGTACTAGAACATAGTTAGAACTTGTAGAACAGACAGAGAGAGAGAGTAAGACAAGAGTAGAGTATATAGAGTAAGCCTAAGAGTACAGGACTACCTAGAGTAGATGAGATCAAGACTACAGGACTAGTCTGATCTTGTATGCCTATATATATTAAACTACACAAGAGTACTCAGAGAGTATAAACTACTAAGAATGATAAGCTATAAAGAATAAAAGAAAGGAAGGTCAAAGATAAAGGAACAAAGAATGAAGGGATGGATAAAGGGTAAGAGACTATAGAATGAACAAAGAATGAAAGAGTGGTCAAAGGAATGGAATGATAAAGTAAGGAGGGGTAGTAGTAAGAGTCAGTACACATATAGTTTATAGATAGTACTCTTAAGAGACAGAAGTCCTAAGTTCTAGTACAGAAGAGAGTAGAACCCTTAGAACTGAAAGTATAAGAGTAGAGAACAATAACATTACCTCCTCTCTAAAACCAATCATCCTGATTAGTAAACATTAGGCTTGGTTAGTAGTTTGAGTATAGGTTAGAACAGTAGAGCTTGGAAATCTATAAGGCTGAGTTTGTGTAGAGTACTAGGATGAAGCTGATAAAAGTCTCAGATTGTCTTAAGAGTATAAGTAAGGTTCTTAGCAGGTTCCTAAGTATACTCCTCAACTAGGTATCCTTTCTAGTAAACAAGGAATTTGAGTTTTCTATATAGTAGCTTAGTATTTACTATGTACTCTACTTTGTATTCTGGTTCAGAACTAATGAGTTCTAGTAGAGGTAGTAGGGGTCTTTGTTAAAGGAAAACTAGGATTGTAGTACTAAGACAACAAAACCTTGTTAAACACTAGGTGTATACACTTCTATGTTACTAAAAGTTAGAGTTTGTAGGTAGAGACACTGACCTTCTTTTTAATAATAAAGGGTCTAAAGTGCTTGTTGTCCAACTTCTTTATTAGGCAATCCAAGGTTAGATTAGTAGCTTCTAGTATAACTTTGTTACTAGGCTAGTAATCCTTAGCTACAGACCTCTTCTAATTATAGTTCTACTTTATAACCTATACTACCTTCTCTAAAAGAGCTTGTGTGTCCTTCCTAGTTCTGTGTATCTGTTCTACAAAGTCTGTTACAGATTTAGAACTACTGTTCTAGTTCAGAACTGTCCCCTAGTACAGATGTCTCTCATGATTGAGGAAGAATAGGGACTGTTCTGTTGTAGAGTGTTACTAGTTATTGTGTACAAATTCTGTTAGAGCTAACTATTCAGACTAATCTGATTACTGATAATTAATAAACATTCAGAGGTAGAGCTTGATCTCCTGATTGACTTACTCAGTTTGACTGTTAGTCTGTAAGTAATATATAGTAGAAGGGTTCTCTTAAATTCTGAGAAGTACATACAAGTCCTGTATAAATTTTGACTTGAATTACAGTCTACAATTGTGAATGAGCTTCTAAGAGAGTCTGTGTAACTAGAAGACATGATTCTAATAAATGTGTGTTATACCTTCAGAAGTAAGTTCTGTTTAGGTTAGAACTGTATAGACTTACTTAGAGAATCAGTCAACAATCACACAAATAGTGTTATAACCCTAAGACTTAGGTAGCTCACTAATCAGGTCTACTAAGACTTCTTTCTAAGAGTGATCCAGGATTCAATACAGATGTAAGGGAGCCTAAACCCTTGTCTAGTAGACTTTAGTCTATTAGTACATATTGTAACTAGTTATATACTTTAGAATTTCCCTCTATATTCCTAGCTACTAGTAGTTCTGAGTAATGAGTTCCTACATTTTGTGTCAGCCTGAATGTCTTACAGTCAGATTGTTATAATAAGCTCAGACAATGTTCTCCTACAGCTTCTAATCCTTTAGAATGTACAGTTAGCCTTCTTAGTAAACCTGTCTATCCTTATCCTCCTCCTAGTCTTTAGCCTACTTCTCTAGCTACTTTACTACAACCTAGTCCTACATGTGTCTTAGAGCTTACTATATACAGGTAACAAAGTTAACATTCTCAGATTCAAGTCAGATCTCTCAGATTGTCTTAGACACAAAACAGGAATTGTTTAGGAGAACAAGATTTTTGTTATCATTCTCCCCCCTTTTATGACCTACTTGTCTTAAGAGTAAATCAGCTTTTGTTATTTGTGTTCCAGGTTTGTAGGTTAGTACAAAGTTGTAGTCTTACAGTTCTAACATTTAGTAGGCCTAACAGTAGTTGAGCTTCTGAGACACCTGAAAGTACTAGAGATTAAGGTGATCACTCTAAATCTTAAACTTCTATACAGTACTAAGGAGATATTAATGTTACTCCTCTAGGGAACAGACAATTGTAAGGAGTTCCTTATTATAGATAGGGTAGTTCTGTTCTGTTACAGAGAGGGATTCTGATTGGAACACTATTAGACACTACTTTCTATTAATGAACTAAGACAGTATTACTTTATTTACAAAGTTGGAAGAGTTAGCTTTGACTTAGAACTTGTCCACAACTGTTAGAACTGCTAATACAAGCTTACTAGTAATGGCTTACTTGAGGGACTCAAACACAAACTACTACTAATCACTCTATTACTAAGGAACATCTTTACTAGTAAGATTGTAAAGGGGCTAGACAATAGTACTAAAGCTTTGAATAAAGTATTAGTAGTAGTTTACAAACCTAAGGAACACTTAGACCTGTTTCAGGTTCTAAGGTTGTGACTAGTTCTAAACTACAGTTACTTTTGCTAGATTCATACAGACCTCTCCTCCACCAATCACAAAGCCTAGATAATCTATTAACTCTTGTGTAAAAGAACACTTTACTTCTTAGAGGAACAGTTTATTATCTTAGAGCTACTACAGAACTGCTTGGATTAGTCAGTAATAGTGTTTGACTGTCTGAGTAAAGATTAGAATGTTGTCCAGATACACACTAACATACTCTAAGTTAATCAGATCTGTAAGGATGTGATTCATGAATGACTAGAATGTTGTAAGCAAGTTAGTTAGTCTAAAGAACATTATAGTCAGTTTGTACAATCTGTAATTGGTTTAGAATACAGCCTTCTACTCATCTCTGTCTTAGATCCAAATATTATTGTATCCCTATCAAATGTCTAACTTAGTAAAAACCCTGAATGTATACATCTTATTAATAAGCTCCTGAATCAGAGGGAGCAGGTATTTGTTTTTAATAGTGCCCTTATTAAGACAACAATAATTCTGAACTAGACAGAGCTTCCTATCTTTCTTTTTAACAAAGAAGAAAGGGGAGGCTATAAGAGACTTTAAGGGTCAGATCTGACTGTTCTGAAGATTTTCCTAAAGGAACTCATTAAGTGCCTCCTACTTGTCTCTGTTGAGTAGGTAGACCTTACAATTCTTAGGTTAGAAACCTTTAGTCAATTTAATTGTATAGTTCTAAAGACAGTATTTAG